CACTTTATGACCCACATTATTAAATTATACATAGAGTTTTGATGTCAAATATGTGAATTATAACAGGATAGGCCAGTCCACATATTTCTCTGACAAGTATGACAAAATGCGCTGGTTCTATGGAAACAAGAGGTCATATGCCCGGGTAGATATAATTTTTGAAAGACTAATGATATGCAGCATGCTCACAAAGTTTGAGCAAAAAATAAAATTTTCCACTTTCCATGTATATAGAATGAAGCTCAATGCTTATTGGCATGGCTTCTTAAACATTTTCACTCCCTTACACCAAAAATCCATGACCCTGGGGCATAAAATTCATAATTCGAGGAAGTATGTATGTAATAGTTTGTTTAATACCCAGGAGCAGAGAAAAGTTTTTCAAAGAAATAATGCATTTTTACTATATAATCAATAGAACCCCACCCTAACACCAGAAACCCGACCTGGGGTCATGATGTTAATCATAAAATTTTCAGAGGCTTTCTTCTTCACCATAGCTATGTACATGTATGAAGTTAGTTTATTTAATACTCCTGAGTAAAAAAGGGTTTTCAAAGCATTAATGCATTTTTACTTCTAGATTATACATGTAATCAATAAAACCAGTACCACTGACCCAGGGGCATGACATTCATACAAGTTTAGAAAATTCACTCCTCTTCACCATTACAATGTATTAAGTAAGTTTGATTAATGCATGTACTCATGAGCAGAGAGAAAAAGATTTTCAAGCTAGAACAAAGCTCATTGTAAAGCAATGAGAAGGTCTTCCGTCATGTTTTGACCGGAAGTGACGTCAGCAAAAAGAAAGCAATGAGCTTAGTCGTCTCTAGTCACTTTCTAATTTCAATTTTGCATCAAAACCTTAAAAAATAAGTTATTTTTGGCTACTTCAGGTTTTACCGGAAGTGATGTCGATGGACAGAAAATTAAGTTCTGTGCTTCCTGTGATATATGTTACCCAAAAACTTGTCAAGAACAGGAAAAATAGGCATTTTCTGACTACTTCCGGTTTAACCGTAAGTGACGTCGCTGGACGCATTTTGACGACTTCATTAGATAAAGCTTGACATTTTGAACAACATTGCTTCTTAGATGTATTACAAACTCTCAATAATTTTTAGATATCTGGAAAATACTTTTGGCCCCTGTATATCCCTTAATTAAGGGGTCAGCCCTTTTTTCGAGTTATCATTTAAAAGACCTTGTAATTCTGCATAAATTTTGTTCTATATCTGTTAACATAATATTTTTAGTTTAGAAGATAAAAAGCAAAATATGTATATATTTTCGCGCTTTTATGCGTTCTAATTTTAAACCCCTATAAAGCACCATTTTGAATAGAGAAATCGGAAAAGAAAAACCACTATGCACAACTTCAATCCTTCTATTATCTAAAATAAGTAGAATTTTTGTTCCAGTTTTAGCCGTCTCTGAGCCTTTGAAACGAAAGCCTATAATTTTTGATTAAAGAGGAATAACTCAAAACCGGAAGTGAATTTTTTGGAATTTTAGATAACATTCTGATAGAGTTAAGTAACGTCTATCAACTCTGAAAATTTGAGCAAAATCCATTGAGAAATGAATGAAAAATGAAGCCTCAAAGTTGGCCTCTAGGAAAAGGAAAAAAAAAAAGAATAATAAGAATAATCTTAATCAACAGCATCAGTAAAAGGTCTTTCTTTGGAAACGAAAGACCTTAATAATGAATGTATTTTCAATATATCTTATAATATATAATTTTATAATGTTATAAAACACATGTAAAATACCAGTAACTTTTATAGCTTAACTTTATCCCAAACAAATTTCTGGGAAATCTGGGAAAAGATATGTTGAATTCATTCAGATATGAACAGTGTTAATCATTTCGATTGTGACGAAAACTTTGATAAACAAACTTTTGATAAACTTTTATAAAAAATTGATAAACGTTTAACGAGAGATAACTCCAATTATCTCAAGATGTTCTAAAACTAGATTTTTTGGCCTTAATTCTAAGAGCCATAACACCTGATACACAGTTAACAGAATGTTTTTGCTCCTTGAAAGGTCATTATATAACGTTTTTACCAAAAACTGGAATTTGTCGGATAATAAAAGTAACGTAGTTAAATGAAAACAAACTTTGACCATTTTTTAAATCAAAAAGGCAAATTTCAATTCATTTCATTAATTCAATAAAATTAACAAGATGTGATTGTGAAACACTATGCGCCCAGTGGCAACAAAGTTCTATAAAGCTATTTTGGATATATAGTTTACAGTCAAGGTCATTGACCTTGGTGTCAGTTGAAAGAACGTAATACCAAATATGAACTCTTCTCTCTAGCTCTTATGGTTCAAAAGTTATGGCAAAGGTTAAAGTTGACAAAAGACAGATAAACAGATAGTCAAACAAAGAGATAAACAGGGCAAAAACAATATACGACCCGGATATATGGATCCAGGCGCATAAAAAATTCTCATCCTCATACTGCCTAACGTTATTAGCGATTATCGTGAGCTCAGGATCATAAATTGTGTTCACATAATTTTTGTTGTTTGTACCACTAGCCAATTCTTGTTAGTATTCAGGTCGTTCTGGATTCTCAACCTTTTGTATTCTTTCAATAAGCGGGTCAACAGACCGAGACAGCGAATCGATTTGTCCCTGTCTCTTACGTTTAAGGTCGAAATCCAATTTCATTGCTTTGATTTTGTCGGCTTGACATAAACTCGTTACGATTCATAATAATTGATTGATTGTTTACTGATTAACGTCCCTCTCAAGAACATTTCACTTATATGGAGACGTCACCATTACCGGTGAAGGGCTTTAAATTTAGGCCTATGCTCGGCACTCAGGGCCTTTGAGCAGGGAGGCCACGGAGCCTCGGTTTATACGGTCTCATCCGAAGGACCGCCCCATTTAGTCGCCTTTTACGACAAGCAATGGGGTACTGAAGTCCTATTCTAACCCGGATCCCCACGGGTTAAATCGTTACGAAATTTATCTAATTTGCTATAAAACGACGACCTCAGTTCTTTTTGTCCTTTCTAAAGGCTGGTCACAAGCCATTTTGAGCATTTTACGGGGGGGGGGGGGGGGTCCGTTAGGCAGTTTGACAAAAGCCTACGCCTTTCCTTTTCAAATATTTCTGCTATTTACTTTTTTATGAACCATAAATATCAACTGTTTGTCAAAAAACTAAAATTATACTCAAAATACAAATGTTTTTTTTTTCAGTACAAATCTTGTCTGTCCTTCTTAATGCATCAAACGCACCATGTAAATAATGACTTTTTTTCTCTTTATGCACTGAAGAGTTTGAAAAGATCAATACGCAGCGCTGTTAAGGCCAAATTTGGGAAATCAACGGAAAATAGAAGTGCAAAAGTGGGACATTTTTTTTTAAAAACTGAATTTATTTTAATTTAGCTGCTTTATTATCACAGAACTTAAATACATAGCTTAAATAGCATAGTATAACTTACTCTGTACTGTATGAAGCTTTGTCCCATCGATGGACAATCACGTGATGAATGCTTAGTTAGTGTACTGTATCATGAATCATGAACAAATTTAAATATCACAAGGGCATACCCTAGTTGAAATTAAAAATTCAAGCTATTCAAAGTTTCTGCTTACTTTGTAGTTTTTGAAAAGTGCTGCTGCTTTGAATAGACTACGCATTTTAATAGTTAAATTTTCAGGTAAGTAGGCCAATGTCGAAATATGTTTATCTTTTACCAAATATTTTGTGTATTTATCAAATCACGCCCTCTATTTAAAGTAAGCAGCAGGACTTTACAAGTTAAGAAAAGTATCCCTAATCTATATTCAAAAAAATGGTTAAGACCTATAAATATGCATGTGCCCTTGCAAAAGTACGATTTTATACGCCAAATCATTATAAAATATACGTAACCTGTTCATAAAAACACGACATATTTAATGATATACATTCTCTTGATAGTTAATGAATAATCACAGCAAACAAAGAATATACAATTTCTCATAGGCATATAAAAAGTCAAGAAGATTTTCTGTTGTAAAACCTTTTGAATTTCCCAAATGGTAAACAAAATTCAACTATGAACAAAAAGTCATACTTATCAGTTCAACATAGAAGACAAATTTTCAAAATCTATGTTTTATTTTATATTTTCGAAAGGATTGTAAAAGTGCCATTTTCCCTTGAAAATCCAGCCTTCCAATGGGCTATAAAAAGATTAGGGGCTACTTCGAATAGGAGAACACCTTTCTTAAAAAAAGAAATTTCAAAATAGTTATTTAGGTCCATTCTCTTCAAAATTATGTATTTAAATTCGTCTTTTTAAAATGTGACTTGTGTAACAAATTTATAATTTTACATGATTTTTTCGTAGACTAGCTCTTAATACAAAATGTGCAAAATAAAAAAAAACAAAACATTATTTAGATGTGAAAATGAATTGATTCTATAAAGAAGTGTATGATGTAGAGGCTTTTAACGATTTCAACATAAATGTCACTCATCGTCCAAAAATTAAAAATCTAACTACAATCTACCTTTAATCATATAAATATGGTGCCTCAAATCATACAAATTCATGTTCATTAAAAATAAACACATTGAAAATAAGTGAATTTGTATGAAATGTGCATCTTGTAGTATATGTTTCATTGACGTCTATAGAATGCATGATGATAGCAAAATATTTATCCATATTTTTTCTGATTTATTAGCGTTACATATTATAAAAAAGTGTTGATTCGCCGATTTCTGATCCATGAGCTGCCTTAACATACCTGCATGACAGAACAGATTGGCAGTATATAGAACATCAGACTTATATAGACTTGTGTATCTTCAGTTTTATTTCCCACTATCTTCATGAACTTACATTTTAAACAACACTGCGACAAAAAATTCATATTTTTTTATGACATATTGTAAAGATATGTATATTCACATGTATATTTGACCGATTTTAATTATAAAATTATAATAAATAGAGTAATTCTAAGATGGATTTAAATGCTAAATTCCAATCGTTAATCGATTGCAAATATGTTAAAACCTTTATGGCAAGAGGAAGACCATATCCATACGTTAATCCGATAGTAAATGCAACTGCAGCAATATATGGAGCATATGTTGTAAACATTTCAAAAATTACCCCCCTTACTTCATCCCTGAGGTTCTCGTTATAATTTTTATCATTTTGCAGAATTTTTTCAATATGGCGATATAAAGCTTCTGTGTACTTAGTTAGCGGGGTATGGAAGTATGGAGGATCGTTTTGTCCCTTCATGTCTTCTATTTTTTGCAATAGCGTGAAAGCGTCTTCCTTTTGATCTTCTATGTTAAGAGAATAATCGAGTGCCATATATCGCTTTTTAACGGATCTAATGAGATTTTTTATTGGATGATCTTCAGGAATGTTGTTTACAAAGGTGTCAAGATCGGATGTTGTTTGAAATTTCCTTTTATCTGTGAAAACAAGAACTAAATATTTTTCAAATTCGTTCCCAAAAAGTTTTTTGTATGTATCTAGTATTTTCGCATCTTCTTTAGTAAACCTGTTAGGATGAATGAGCATAACAAAAGCATGGGGCCCTGGCGAAACCATTGCGTATGACTTAGTTATTTCTATGAGCACATCTCTATCGCTGAAGTTTGTATCGGCTAGTCCTGGAGTATCTACCACAACAAGCTTACCACCAAATCTGAAACTCGTTTTATATGATGTGGTACGTGTTATTGACACTAAGCTGTTTTCAGATTTGAACGCCATCTTCCCTAGTAAAGAATTCCCCGTTGCACTTTTACCAGATCCTGTTTTTCCAATAAGAATTAGGCGGATTTCTTCTTGATTGCATATCCCTGAAAAAAAAAATGTTTCGTAGAGTAATTAATTTACGTTTTCATATACACTGTATCGCATTTCTTATTCGATTGCCCATTGGTGATTTTTTTTGACATGAAAAAAAGGTTCTAAATAAAAACTAATACATGTATGTTAATAGTGTTAAATCTAGACCCTAAAAAGGGCATGGTAATCAAGGAATCAAAAGGGCACTTTGTGTCGCAACGGGATCTCACGAGGGCACTTTTAAAACAAATGTATTAAAATGTCTTTATAAAGATTATATTAATCATTAATTTTTACATACTTTAACATGTTTAATTACTTTTAATATCCTTTCATACTGAAATCTTTATTTAAACAAGTATTTTAAAGATAAATTCATATATCTGTATTCCATTCATTTTTTAAAAATATCAACACAATTAGCACACCTGGACTGACATGACAATTATTGAAACAAAAAAGGATATAAAAAGGCATTTACATCCAATTACTTTAATCAAAAAAGTAGTAAGGTTACACTTGAGAAAGTAATGGTATTAATCTAGCTGAAACATCTTCAAAAATTATTAAAGTTTGGAGGTTTTTTTTTTTTTTACCTACTTGGACTGTGTTATTTGTGTACTAGTACAGTCAATTTAAAAATACTTTTTTCAGGGAAGAGGGGGAGGGACATTTTGAAAAATATATGTAGAGACCATTCTATTTACTTGGAAAATAGTCTACCAACAGGATAAAGTGAAAACTGGTCTTACTCCCAATATATTTTGTTAAAAAAAACTCTGGCTTCAATTAGAAACATTGACCCTCAGCTTATTCAAATCTATCTGTTCAATCAAAGAAACTAACTTAGTCTGTTGTTTTTAAGCCTTTTTATAACATTACATTCAGTTTTTTTGGTGCACTGTAAGTATTTTATTCAGATAAAATATCCGTTTTTTCTTCAAGTTCAACTATGTGTATTATTCTACTTTCTGTTTAAAAAACGATCCTGATTTTAATTAGTAAATAATTTACAAGTTAATTTATCCTTGGTCTTGGGCTTATTCTTGCATAATCAATGCAATCAAATGACAGTTTCTCAAGTTAAATCCTCTACCCTGACAGCCTGAGGCATGTTAATTAGCCAGGTGGCTGTGTGGTGCGTTCAAGCGTGAAGTGATTTCCTGTCGTTGTGTAAACAAAGGGATTATCAGCAATGAGCTTGCACTGAATAAACAGAACAGCAAAGGAATATTGCCTAAACTGGGCATATTAATAATTTTGGGTTAGGAAATAAGGGCATGGTGCTGGAAAAAAGGGCATGGCGCCGAGAAAAAGGGGCATGGCGCCGCGCCATGGTAGTTTGCTTTAGATTTAACACTATATGTTAATCAATAGATATTCACAGTTTTGATGTTTTCAATTACATTTACACTCAATTGTGTTTTATTCTTTAGGCTTACATTTTTAGCTCACCTGAGCCAAGGGCTCAAGTGAGCTTTTCTGATCAAAATTTGTCCATTGTTTGTTGTTGTCGTCGTCGTTAACTTTCTCATATTTTTCACAGAATTCTTCATAAGTACCACTGAGCTAAACTCCGCCAAACTTTGCACAAAGTATCCTTAAGTTAAGGGAATTCAAGTTTTTTCAAGGGAAGATATTTCAGAAATATTGAAATTTGATATGTTTTAAAAATTTTCTCCTCAAGAATCACTGTGCCAGGAAATATTTAACTTATAGGGAAGCATCTTAAAGTACTGTAGATTCAAGTTTGTTCAAATTATAACCCCATGAGATAGAGTGGAGACAAAATGGACGATAAAATTTTACAAAGAAAAAAAAATATATATATACACTGTATATATATATATATATATATATATATATAGAAGATTTTCAAAGATTATATATATATATATATATATATATATATATATATATATATATATATATATATATATATATATATATATATATATATATATATATATATATAATTCTTTGAAAATCTTCTTTACAAGAATAGGTAAGGCATGAATGATCATATTTATATGAAAGCATCCTCAGGTAGTTGAAATTCAAGTTTGTTCAAATCATAACCCTTTGGGGTAGGGTGGGGCCACAATGGTCGATCAAAGTTTTACATAGAAACATATAGGAAAATTCTATAAAAAAAATTCTCTTTAATAGCAAATGCATGAATGATCATATTTGTATGGAAGCATACAGATAGTGGACATTCAACTGTGTTCAAATCATGACCCCTAGGGATACGGTGGGTTCACAACATGGAATCCATGTTTTACATACAAGCGTAGAAAAATCTTTAAAAATCTTCTTTTCAAGAATAGCAAAGGCATAATTACTCTTATTCATACGGCAGCATTTTAGGTAGTGTAGATTCAATTTTGTTCAACTCATGACCCCTGAGGTACATGTAGGACGGGGCAACAATGTAAAGGCCAAAAAAAAAGCCACGAGTAGTCAACGAAATATGCCAGCATGCTTATTAGAAAGTGTAAATCCAAGTTTGTTCAAATCATACCCTTTCCCTTTCAAGGATTGGTTGCGACCACTATTTGGTTTCAACTTTTCAACAATAAATTGATTTATGCTTTTATTCTAGCCATTTTGCTCAGGTGAGCAATGTTTTCCATGGGCCTCTTGTTACATGTATATATATCTCCAATAACGTTTTCAATAGGAAAAACTATCTTGAATATTATTAAGCGTTTTATCCTATAATATGTCATATCAACGCCAGAGATAGGATTATTTACATAAAAGAAAGGACCGCATTCTTTTACTTAATACATGTATTTAATCTACCCAGTCACATACAATGTTTAATACTAGATCCATTTCAAAGCATGGATTTATTCAATCAGCTGGCTATCTATGCAAATCAAGACAGGCTTTCCATGCCGTCGCAATTCTCCCGGTGCTGCCCAACATTACACGGTCATAGAAAATGGAAGTGGAACACAGTTATTTGAATATTATTTGTATAATTTTTCCAATGCAATTTGTACTGAAATTAATTGTAAACAGTTATTTATGCAACACTCTTAAAAACAATTTTACAACATATTCAATTCAAACAATACTTATTCAGACTACAGAATAGATTGGGCATTTGGCATGCAAACCCTATGAATATCCTTTACATTTAAGACGTAAAGGTTACAATGAACAGAATGAATATGAACAATTTTACAACATATTCAATTCAAACAATACTTATTCAGACTACAGAATAGATTGGGCATTAGGTATGCAAACCCTATGAATATCATTTACATTTAAGACGTACAGGTTACAAAGAACAGAATGAATATGAATGATGAATTAAAGTAAACAGACACACACAATCAAGCACTCAGGAACAGGGAAGAAGATTTTCAAAGAATTAATGTGCATGTTACTTCACCACATAATCCATTTAGCAATGCTCACAGCTTATTACAACCATGCGAACCTTGTCCAATTGAAGTCCAGAATAAAGAAAAGAAAAATTTTCAAGAATGCACAATTTTTGTTGTTCTGAACCCCTCCCCTCATTGGAATGGCATGAATGAAAGGCTATATTTTTTAACCAGGTGGCAATATTAAGTTGACGGAGGGGCTTATTTTGAACAGGTTTGAATGCCTTCAGAGCTAGCAGTTTACCTGTGGTCATTTGTCTGCTAAAAGCTGATTTAATACACAGTGAAATACCCAGATGTCTTTACCTGTGTTGGGATTTTGAGACAATTTTAAATTAATTTAGTAGTAAAAGGTTTCTTTTCAATTATATTCTGATTTATTCTTAATGTTTGAAAACACCCCTACATGTATCCATTTAAAAATTATTATGATTTCGCACTATAAATTCAAATGTAAAGGACAAATGATACAAACAACTTTTTTTTTCTTGGAGGAGACTTCATTTCATGTCGCATGATCAGAAACGTGAATATTTCTTAGAATTTTTTTTCCAAAGAAGGAACTGGAAAATGAAATAGACCTGGAAAATATTAGTAATATTTCAATAAAATTAAAAATATGTACAAAACACACTCAGTTAAGGTTTACATATTTCCTCTTTAATTTTACTATTTAGTATGTTAAGATTAACTAAACGTTTAGTATTTTTATGAATATTATATTAGGATCCTTCAAATACTAAATAAAAGGTATGTTTAATTCAGATATAATCGATCTAAAATTTTTCATATAGTTTTGTAAACCATGTTCAGTAACCTTCAAAGGATAACAAAAGTTTATGAGAAAGTTATCACCAAACAAGGTGTACAGGGTATACACAGGAACAAGTAAGTAAGTAAGTTTCAATCTAGTTCAAGCATATAATGAAGAAACTTTTAGCACTTGATTGACAGGGCTACCCAGACCAGGTAGTTTGGGAGACGGTGCTTTAAATTTCTGCTTTTGAATATACATTTCAGAAAGTCATTCGAATATAACGCAGGTTGGTTTAGGTTACAACCAAATATTCTACTTGTCTATATGATATGACGTCATAGTAAGCTATATGATGTAAAGTTTAGAGATAATAATTTCTTATAATCGATATCTAAGATTGATTTGAGGTCGTAAGAATTAATAAAAATATGCAGAGGCATAATACAAACAGAATTTTGTCGTTTTTGGGTGTCTGTCGTTATCACAGGGGTTAATACCAAACCCATGACGTCATTACTGTTGATCATGCAGTAGCAGAGTGAAAGTGAAACGTGACGAGAATTCATGTAAACAAATACATGAAATAGGAGTTTTCAAGCATATAGAATGAATATCATGTGTTATTCATGTGGGAATAAAGGTTATGAATAAGGTAAGGTAATATACTTCAACAATTTCTTCGTAAAATTAAAGCAGGGAGGGTGTTTACTTGCCGATCAGCCTTTCCTCTGTCGTTCGTAACAGACAAGATGCAAAAGTTTCACACTACGCCGCAAACTTTGAAACTTAATTTTTGTTTCTATCTTAAGTTCTTTTTCTATTGTTTTTGAAAAGTGCTGCTAGAATCGTA